GCAGCTTCTTGGTTGGCAATGGGGCGATCCCAGCTGGATTGCTTATGGGCTTCAGAATTATTATTATTATTATTATATATATATATATACACACACACACACACTATTGGAGGGGTGACAGGTACGCTTCTAACACGGATGAAAAATTTTCTGACTGATAGAAAAATGAGGGCAGTGATCAGAGGCAATGTATCAGACTGGAGAAATGTCACAAGTGGAGTACCACAGGGTTCAGTTCTTGCACCAGTGATGTTTATTGTCTACATAAATGATCTACTAGTTGGTATATAGAATTATATGAACATGTTTGCTGATGATGCTAAGATAATAGGAAGGATAAGAAATTTATATGATTGTCATGCCCTTCAAGATGACCTGAACAAAATAAGTATATGGAGCACCACTTGGCAAATGGAATTTAATGTTAATAAATGCCATGTTATGGAATGTGAAATAGGACAACATAGACCCCACACAACCTATATATTATGTGAGAAATCTTTAAAGAATTCTGATAAAGAAAGAGATCTAGGGGTGGTTCTAGATAGAAAACTATCACCTGAGGACCACATAAAGAATATTGTGCAAGGAGCCTATGCGATGCTTTCTAACTTCAGAATTGCTTTTAAATACATGGATGGCAATATACTAAAGAAATTGTTCACGACTTTTGTTAGGCCAAAGCTAGAATATGCAGCGGTTGTGTGGTGCCCATATCTTAAGAAGCACATCAACAAACTGGAAAAGGTGCAAAGACATGCTACTAAGTGGCTCCCAGAACTGTAGGGCAAGAGCTACGAAGAGAGGTTAGAGGCATTAAATATGCTAAAACTGGAAGACAGAAGAAAAAGAGGTGATATGATCACTACATATAAAATAGTAACAGGAATTGATAAAATCAATAGGGAAGATTTCCTGAGACCTGGAACTTTAAGAACAAGAGGTCATAGATATAAACTAGCTAAACACAGATGCCGAAGAAATATAAGAAAATTCACTTTCGCAAACAGAGTGGTAGACGGTTGGAACAAGTTAGGTGAGAAGGTGGTGGAGGCCAAGACCGTCAGTAGTTTTAAAGCGTTATATGACAAGGAGTGCTGGGAAGACGGGACACCACGAGCATAGCTCTCATCCTGTAACTACACTTGGGTAATTAAAAAAAAAAATTTACACACACACACACACACAGCAGCCAGTGTATAATGTTATGATGTTATGTTATGTTATGTTTTATATATATATATATATATATATATATATATATATATGTCGTACCTAATAGCCAGAACTCACTTCTCAGCCTACTATGCAAGGCCCGATTTGCCTATTAAGCCCAGTTTTACTGAATTAATATATTTTCTCTAATTTTTTTCTTATGAAATGATAAAGCTACCCATTTCATTATGTATGAGGTCAAATTTTTTTTATTGGAGTTAAAATTAACGTATATATATGACCGAACCTAACCAGCCCTACCTAACCTAACCTACCCTATCTTTATAGGTTAGGTTAGGTTAGGTAGCCGAAAACGTTAGGTTAGGTTAGGTTTGGTAGGTTAGGTAGTCGAAAAAACATTAATTCATGAAAACTAGGCTTATTAGGCAAATCGGGCATTGCATAGTAGGCTGAGAAGTGAGTTCTGGCTACTAGGTACGACATATATATATATATATATATATATATATATATATATATATATATATATATATATATATATATATATATATATATATTTATATATATATATATATATATATATATATATATATATATATATATATATATATATATATATATATATATATATATATATATAGAGAGAGAGAGAGAGAGAGAGAGAGAGAGAGACACACACACACACAATGGCACCTTGACATACGATTGCCCCTACTTACAATAATTTTGAGTTACGATGTAAATTTCATAGAAAAATGTGACTCGACATCCGATGGTGTTCTCGACTTCCGATATTTATTGGTACACGTTCGGGTCGACCAAGCGCGTGGTTCCCGGTCACGCGGCCGACCTGCCTCAGTTTACTACAGCTGCCCGCTTAGTGACGATCGCGCCTATAAGAAATTCCACTTTTGTGGGGATTTTTTGCATTTTGAACATTAAAGTAATTATTATATATCACGCCATGAGTCCCAGGAAAGTCAGTGGTAAGGCTCAACATATGAGATCCCATGTAAGGATGACCATAGAGCAGACACAAGAGTACAGAATGTCTCTTCCTCAACAATTAAGAAAATGTGTGCAGCATGGGAAGAATTGCAAACCTTTGCTGAAACGACTCGCCCAAATCAAGCTGCAGTAGGCCGTTGCCTTAACCTATTCAATGACACTGTGATGCATCATTACAGACAAATGTTAAAATGAAGGGAAAAACAAATGCCTCTTGACAAATTGTAGTGAGACAAACAAGCGCTGAACCACAACCAGGTCCTAGTGGTATTCAGGCAAAACATAGGAGAGAGAGTACTCCAGAGAAGACATCACTGCCTGATGTTATAATGGAAGGGGACTCCCCTTCCAAACAGTAACAACTCTCCTCCTCCCCCCTCATCACCATCTTCCATACGCCATCAAGAGCCCTCCATAAAGGTAAGACACTTTGGTACTGTATGGTTCACGGTTCACCTTATGGTTCATGGTTCACCTTATGGTTCATGGTTCACCTTATGGTTCATGGTTCACCTTATGGTTCATGGTTCACGGTTCATCATATGGTTCACCTTATGGTTCATGGTTCACCTTATGGTTCATGGTTCACCTTATGGTTCATGGTTCACCTTATGGTTCATGGTTCACCTTATGGTTCACGGTTCACCTTATGGTTCACGGTTCACCTTATGGTTCACGGTTCACCTTATGGTTCACGGTTCACCTTATGGTTCACGGTTCACCTTATGGTTCACGGTTCACCTTATGGTTCACGGTTCACCTTATGGTTCACGGTTCACCTTATGGTTCATGGTTCACCTTATGGTTCACGGTTCACCTTATGGTTCACGGTTCACCTTATGGTTCACGGTTCACCTTATGGTTCATGGTTCACCTTATGGTTCATGGTTCACCTTATGGTTCATGGTTCACCATATGGTTCATGGTTCACCTTATGGTTCATGGTTCACCTTATGGTTCATGGTTCACCTTATGGTTCATGGTTCACCATATGGTTCATGCTTCACCTTATGGTTCATGGTTCACCTTATGGTTCATGGTTCACCTTACGGTTCATGGTTCACCTTACGGTTCATGGTTCACCTTACGGTTCATGGTTCACCTTATGGTTCATGGTTCACCTTATGGTTCATGGTTCACCTTACGGTTCATGGTTCACCTTACGGTTCATGGTTCACCTTATGGTTCATGGTTCACCTTATGGTTCATGGTTCACCTTATGGTTCATGGTTCACCTTATGGTTCATGGTTCACCTTATGGTTCATGGTTCACCTTATGGTTCATGGTTCACCTTATGGTTCATGGTTCACCTTATGGTTCATGGTTCACCTTATGGTTCATGGTTCACCTTATGGTTCATGGTTCACCTTATGGTTCATGGTTCACCTTATGGTTCATGGTTCACCTTATGGTTCATGGTTCACCTTATGGTTCATGGTTCACCTTACGGTTCATGGTTCACCTTACGGTTCATGGTTCACCTTACGGTTCATGGTTCACCTTATGGTTCATGGTTCACCTTATGGTTCATGGTTCACCTTATGGTTCATGGTTCACCTTATGGTTCATGGTTCACCTTATGGTTCATGGTTCACCTTATGGTTCATGGTTCACCTTATGGTTCATGGTTCACCTTATGGTTCATGGTTCACCTTATGGTTCATGGTTCACCTTATGGTTCATGGTTCACCTTATGGTTCATGGTTCACCTTATGGTTCATGGTTCACCTTATGGTTCATGGTTCACCTTATGGTTCATGGTTCACCTTATGGTTCATGGTTCACCTTATGGTTCATGGTTCACCTTATGGTTCATGGTTCACCTTATGGTTCATGGTTCACCTTATGGTTCATGGTTCACCTTATGGTTCATGGTTCACCTTATGGTTCATGGTTCACCATATGGTTTCTAATAGTCAGGGACAGAAGGCCAATTAGATTTATTTAAGTCTCCCTTAGTATAACTAGTATAGTTATACTATAACTAGTATAACTCTTAGCATGCTATACACAACAGTTATCTAACTTTTGAATACCTATTTACTGCTAAAAGTGAACAGAGGTATAAGGTGAAAGGAAATGTGCCAAACCCCCTCTATCCCACCCAGGATTCCCCGTTGTTAGTTGAAAATGTAGACTGCTGTGCTACAGACCCATAATTACATAAGTTTGTAGATGAGCTTTATAGGCCTACCAATTAATTGGAGAACTCTACCCAATATATCTGGCCAAAACTGGATATGCCAACTAATCTACTACACATTCCCAATTACTGCTTAGTAGACAAGAACAGATGGCGGGCAAGTGATCCGTCCCTGCCAAAACATGCCAGCCTAGGCACTCTCACTTGTGAAGGACAGTGTGCTGCCAACCACTATACCACCAGAGGTCCTCCTATTCCAATATGTCAGCAAAATGGCTCCATCTAAGCTCTATTTTGTCAGTGGTGAGCCCTATTACCTCTCTCAATAAGTATCCTTACTAGGAATATTAATACACAAAATTATATAAGTTGGAAATGCACTACATTAACACAGCAAATCACTACAACAAAGAATCTTTCTCAAAATAATCAAGTAAAAATCAAATAATCTGCTAATCTACATAAAGATGAATGTGAAGCAAGAGACTGTAACACACACTTGCTGCCGCTATATACAATATGGCCAATTTGACTAGAATCCATTACCAAGTTGAGCCAAGAGAGATGATTTATGACAAAAACACCAATCTTATTAGGTTTCTCTCTTCTGAACCACCTCAAGGACCACTAACAAAATATAAATGTCACTTAATTCGTTAAAAAAATCCAGAGTAATTAACAATATTTTACATTCTGTAAAAACTTAGAATAAAAACTCCTTGAAATACAATAAACAAAAAACAATTGAAGGCACCTACCCTTGTACAGGTTACAGCGTAAAGGGTCAAATATTATTTTGCTCCAGAATGTACAGGAAAAGTACCTGAAGAATTACCAAAAGTAATATTTCTAATGCTGATATTAACTTTAATTAAAATGATAATAAGTAATTTAAAATTACTTCGGTAACTTATCAGGTCACATCCAGCTATATTTAAGATATAACAGGAATTTCATGCATTTTCCAAACTCTTAGGTTTAACTATTGAAGCAAATAACAAAAATCTAGATACAGTATAGTGTAGATCATAATAACTTTGTTTGACATGAGGTCACATGCAGTAGCTGCTCCTCCTCTCTATGCCAAATAAGTTGTTCTCATATTGTCCTGTGCCATGTGTAGCTGTTTTTGTACTGATGTTGCAACATCCTCATTCTAAGAGTACTCAAAATAAATCTGAAGTGATCTCACACATAACACCAAGATTGAAGACTATGTAGAAAATATATACAAACAAGTTCCTTACTCTTCGTACAACTAAGCAGTCAATTAAGAAAGACACTAATTATACCTATGATATCTTTGATTAATCCAGCCAACATATTGGACAAAATAACTCATCTTAACTACTGAAATATCACCATGGAGAGTAGTAGTGTTGATTAGATTATCGCAAGAGCAAAGTTGCTGCACTGTCGCTTACCAATATCTGCCAAGTGCCCGAGCATCACATGGCAAAGACCTGTTGTGAGCACAAATATCAGTGCTAAGAATACACAACACAAATATCAGTGCTATGAATACATCAGTGTAGTCCCTGCTATGAGGCATAACATAGCAAGAAATTATCTACCCTTCAACCTAAGGCAGCAAATGATTTCAAACAATATATCTGTATTGCACATAGAAAAATAAAGTTCAACAATTGCACTAATTTACACCATTCCATCATTTGTTTCCTAATCTATTTCATCCTTTCTCTTCTAATCTAAATTAATCTAAAATTAAATACTAATAAATAAACAGCAATAATCTCCTAAGAAAAGTTAAACCAAGGCAAAGAAATTCTAACCATTACTAATTACTTTCTTCTATCTTGTGCCTGAGAAATTTGCCTTGCTACAGAGCAGCCGGTTACGAACAGCAACACTGTCTCAGAACGCCATACACTGGTTGTCACAGTCACTGTTTACATCACACGCTGCGATTATATTGCACACTGCAATTCCCTCGTACATTGCAATTACACTGAACACTGCAATTACAATGAATACAGCAATTACATCGCATACTGCAATTATATTGCATATTGCACTTCAAAAGCATAATATGATAAAATTGCACACTGATTATATTGCACACTGTAATTACATTGCATACTACTATTATATTGCATACTGCAATTATATTGCATCCTGTGTTTATATCACATACAATGGCTGTCACATTTCTTTGCCATAATACATACCGGCTGTCATAGACTTTGGCTACTTTCTGTATCATGGTAATATCACAAACCCTGATTACCTCACATTACCCACAGTGCATCTCACACGTGAAACACTGACCAATATAGCCTCATGCACAGGTGAGTAATATTGCTGATGAAATGAGTCAGTAATTCATAACTGTGATGGAGATAACTACACTGTCTATGCATTGTTCTTCATAAATCAACAATAAAGTTGAAACAAATTATTGTAAGAAATTGGCTTGAGTGGCTGAGGTGATAAGACTTGAGGGAATGTGAGATACAAAGATTAGACTAGAATTCAAACACTGATGTAATCACATGAAGGTGCAGCCTCTTACTGCTCATCTATACTTAATAACAATTCTTTCACAAAAATCCATGTGTTTTCAAATGAACTTATGATGAAAACTATGAAATATTAAAAATAAAATATTGGCTTAGTAAGGTTCACTTCCTTATATTTATCATGTATGATAAATATAGCAGAAATTAAAATGTTATGTATAGCTATTAATATATACAGTATATATATGTTATATGTAAAATATATTAATTACTGTACTTAGAATAATTCTAATATTTTCCACCTGATCTACCTTGAATAAGTCACACTGTTATTTACAGCACTGTTGTTTCTAGTCTTTGGGCAGTGTCAACTTGGTCACTCAAATTACTGTTAATAAATAATGAAGACTACTGAAGCTAAAATTGGATCTGTACAACTCTGCATGTCAAACTAGAAGACTTGGGCATGAGCTCAAAATGCAATTTAAAGTTGCTGTGTATAAAACTTTAGGTATGGCAAACAATCCTATTAAAATTATGGATATTACCCAGAGAGTGGTTGATGATGCAAAGTGTAGCATGCTAATAGGACAACCATCAGAGATAAGATGGACCATATGACATGAACCTCTAGAACAACCTGATCATCTGGCTCCATTTCATGCAGCCAATTAAGGTCATGCAGAGAATCGAGTGTAAGGTCATGAGCTGGAATAGGTGTGAGGCGGTGAGTCGGGGTGTGAAGAACAGGGGGGTGGTGAGTAGGAGTGTCTCTGGGGTTAGTATAAGGCCGAAGCTGGAGAGTAGGACTTAGAGGTGGAGAAAGTGACGTGTGGTCAGGAATGATGTCGTCTGGCATTTCATCAGCAAAGGTGAGGCTCCTGAGTGTAGGTCGATTGGGCTTTGGCGTGCTGCAGCTCGGCAATTGTTGCTGAATGGACTGGCCAGGCCTCAAATCAGCTGCACCAGTTTCTGAATCTTCCCAGCCATCGTCACAATAAAGAGCAACACAAAGATTTTCAGAAGCTGAAGCATGTCGCCTAGGAAGTGGACTCCAGTTAAGATCTGAGCTGGTGGGGTGTGGTGGGCTCAGAGTAGTAGCAGATGCACTTAGTTTAGAACTCTTACTTTTGTTGAGTTGCTTTCCTTTCTGTTGTGTCATCTGGTATGACAGCTGATTACTCTGACCCCTGGAAACATACTGAATACCATTTTGTGCATGAAAGTCAAGGTGATTTTCTGCTCTGGCTCGTGCAACTACACTGCCTTGTACTCTAGAATGAGACACGTAACTGCATTCACCCGATACTTGTGTCACATGGTTGCTAGCATAATGCATCATTCTCCGTTCACCTTCCGACTGGCTCACTAAAAATGATCCAAACCAGTTAGAAAGCCTGTTGACCTCACTTATAAATGTTGCACCATGTCGCAATCCTTCTCTAGCCGAAGGTCAGCACGTGGCAGAAGGTCATTGGAGGTCATGCGTGTCATAGAAAAGGTGTGACACATCGAGCGTGGTAGCCAAGTCTAGAATTATGGCATAGAGACTTGGATGATCCAATACTTCCCCTTCTGGCAAGTTTGGATGACATCGTGGGTAGAACTGACGCCCCTGTGAAAATAAATTGTTAGATGCCAATACCGTAAATGAAAACTAATTACACCAAACATGCAAATTTGTAATTGTATTTAATAAAGCAAACATTATCCACAATAAGCTAATAAGTGGATAAAAAAAAATTGCCCAGCAATCCATTCAGCATATTCATATATTTGATATTGTTTCTATCTGAGAACTCTCAGTTTCCACTAGTAATAAAAACTCGGCTTTAAATGTAATGAAATGCCTCTTTCGGGATAAGCCCTAGTGGCTCCCTAAAGCTAACCACAGAAAACAAAAACAGGACTTGCCAGGGAAGACAAGGAAGAGAATCAGGGCATGGAGACATGGCTCAAGACAACACATACCAACTTGGACCAGGAACATTAACTAAAATTAACTAAATACCATGCAGCCAGAACTCTGTTACAACGCCAAAACCACCAAACCCGAATGTCAGCCCAGCATACGTTGGAGCAGATTGTGGCAAATGCAGCATACTTGTGAACATCAAGGGCCTAAGGGTAGACCACAGGCTAGCTACATGCAATAACACAGCAGATGACCTAGGAAATATGAGCCTTGGAACACGGGACCAAGGAAACAGGGTCAACCAACAAGGTGTCCACCGAATCAGCAGTGGTAATCCACAGAGAGGTATGAGCTGTGAGGATAGGCTACGGGAGCGAAGCCTCACGTTCCTGGAAGAAAAACAAGAGTAAGGGGAGAAATGACCACCACCTACAAAATCCTCAGAGACAACGTGGACAAAGCCAAACTCTTTAGCATTGGGGGTAACACGAACAAGAGGGACACCACACAACCTATAAATTATGTGAGAAATCTTTAAAGAATTCTGATAAAGAAAGATCTAGGGATGGTTCTAGATAGAAAACTATCACCTGAGGACTACATTAAGAATGTTGTGCGAGGAGCCTATGCTACACTTTCTAACTTCAGAATTGCTGTTAAATGCAGGATGGCGATATACTAAAGAAATTGTTCACGACTTTTGTTAGACCAAAGCTGGAATATGCAGCGCTTGTATGGTGCCCATATCTTAAGAAACACATCAACAAACTGGAAAGGGGGCAAAGACATGCAACTAAATGGCTCCCAGAAATGAAGGACAAAAGCTACGAGGAGAGATTAGAGGCATTAAATATGCCAAAACTAAAAGACAGAAGAAAAAACCAGCGTTGAATGTAATGAAATGCCATTTTCTGGGTGAGTCCCGGAGACTCCCCGGAGCTATCCCAGGCTGATATGCTAATGTCATACTTTGGCATCAGTCATGTGTATGGAGTTCTTAGGCCTACCAGGGACCACGGCCAGAACCGGACCCCCTCAGAGAGGTAAGGGAAGCAAGGGCCTATAGAAACCCCCGAGTGGTTAGAAGCATTCTATGTCTGCCACCGACCGGATCAGGCACCCAGAAAGGTAAGTGCCCCAAAACAAACCCCTATTCTGGTTAAAATTGCTACCAAAAGCCGAACTAGTGGATAGAATTCCCCAACAGAAAACATAGTCAGTCGGTCACGGCAGTCAGGGAGTCTGCCTCTCAAGGCCACCATCTGGTAGGGAAGGTAGCAGAGAATCTGAACCGTATTAATATTGTATGGACCGTCTACATCACCTGGAGGGGTGGGGGATATATCTGGGAGGGTCCGGTATAGGGATGAGGAGGCAGGGTAGGATGAGTTGGGATAGGGAAGCTGAGGGGATGTGGTGTGACCACAGCTCCTAGCCAGCCTGCACACTTGCCTGCCAGCTAGCCAGCACCCATCTGCCTGCCTCCTAGTCAGCACCCATCTGCCTGCCTCCTAGTCAGCACCCATCTGCCTGCCTCCTAGCCAGCACCCAACTGCCTGCCTCCTAGCCAGCACCCATCTGCCTGCCTCCTAGTCAGCACCCATCTGCCTGCCTCCTAGCCAGCACCCATCTGCCTGCCTCCTAGCCAGCACCCATCTGCCTGCCTCCTAGCCAGCACCCATCTGCCTGCCTCCTAGCCAGCACCCATCTGCCTGCCTCCTAGCCAGCACCCATCTGCCTGCCTCCTAGCCAGCACCCATCTGCCTGCCTCCTAGTCAGCACCCATCTGCCTGCCTCCTAGTCAGCACCCATCTGCCTGCCTCCTAGCCAGCACCCATCTGCCTGCCTCCTAGCCAGCACCCATCTGCCTGCCTCCTAGCCAGCACCCATCTGCCTGCCTCCTAGCCAGCACCCATCTGCCTGCCTCCTAGCCAGCACCCATCTGCCTGCCTCCTAGCCAGCACCCATCTGCCTGCCTCCTAGCCAGCACCCATCTGCCTGCCTCCTAGCCAGCACCCATCTGCCTGCCTCCTAGTCAGCACCCATCTGCCTGCCTCCTAGCCAGCACCCATCTGCCTGCCTCCTAGCCAGCACCCATCTGCCTGCCTCCTAGCCACCACCCATCTGCCTGCCTCCTAGTCAGCACCCATCTGCCTGCCTCCTAGCCAGCACCCATCTGCCTGCCTCCTAGCCAGCACCCATCTGCCTGCCTCCTAGCCAGCACCCATCTGCCTGCCTCCTAGCCAGCACCCATCTGCCTGCCTCCTAGCCAGCACCCATCTGCCTACCTCCTAGCCAGCACCCATCTGCCTACCTCCTAGCCAGCACCCATCTGCCTGCCTCCTAGCCAGCACCCATCTGCCTGCCTCCTAGCCAGCACCCATCTGCCTGCCTCCTAGCCAGCACCCATCTGCCTGCCTCCTAGCCAGCACCCATCTGCCTGCTAGCCAGCCAACATGCTAGCCAGCCAACCTGTTAGCCAGCCAACCTGTCTGCTAGCCAGCCAGCCAACCTGTCTGCCTGCTAGCCAGCCAACCTGTCTGCCTGCTAGCCAGCCAACCTGTCTGCCTGCTAGCCAGCCAACATGCTAGCCAGCCAACGTGTTAGCCAGCCAACCCACCTGCTAGCCAGCCAGCCAACCTGTCTGCTAGCTAGCCAGCCAACCTGTCTGCTAGCCAGCCAGCCAACCTGTCTGCTAGCCAGCCAGCCAGCCAGCCAGCCAACCTGTCTGCAAGCCAGCTAGCCAGCCAGCCAGCCAGCCAACCTGTCTGCTAGCCAGCCAGCCAGCCAGCCAACCTGTCTGCTAGCCAGCCAGCCAGCCAGCCAGCCAGCCAACCAACCTGTCTGCTAGCCAGTCAGCCAACCAGCCAGCCAGCCAGCCTGTCTGCTAGCCAGCCAGCCAGCCAGCCAGCCAGCCAGCCAACCTGTCTGCTAGCCAGCCAGCCAGCCAGCCAGCCAACCTGTCTGCTAGCCAGCCAGCCAGCCAACCTGTCTGCTAGCCAGCCAGCCAGCCAGCCAGCCAACCTGTCTGCTAGCCAGCCAGCCTGCCAACCTGTCTGCTAGCCAGCCAGCCAGCCAACCTGTCTGCTAGCCAGCCAGCCAGCCAACCTGTCTGCTAGCCAGACAGACAGCCAGCCAACCTGTCTGCTAGCCAGCCAGCCAGCCAGCCAGCCAGCCAGTCTGCTAGCCAGCCAGACAGCCAACCTGTCTGCTAGCCAGCCAGCCAACCTGTCTACTAGCCAGTCAGCCAGCCAGCCAGCCAACCTGTCTGCTAGCCAGCCAGCCTGCCAACCTGTCTGCTAGCCAGCCAGCCAGCCAACCTGTCTGCTAGCCAGCCAGCCAGCCAGCCAGCCAACCTGTCTGCTAGCCAGCCAGCCAGCCAGTCTGCTAGCCAGCCAGACAGCCAACCTGTCTGCTAGCCAGCCAGCCAGCCAACCTGTCTGCTAGCCAGACAGCCAGCCAGCCAGCCAACCTGTCTGCTAGCCAGCCAGCCAGCCAGCCAGCCAGTCTGCTAGCCAGCCAGACAGCCAACCTGTCTGCTAGCCAGCCAGCCAGCCAGCCAACCTGTCTGCTAGCCAGACAGCCAGCCAGCCAGCCAACCTGTCTGCTAGCCAGCCAGCCAGCCAGCCAACCTGTCTGCTAGCCAGCCAGCCAGCCAGCCAGCCAGCCAACCTGTCTGCTAGCCAGCCAGCCAGCCAGCCAACCTGTCTGCCAGCCAGCCAGCCAGCCAGCCAGCCAACCTGTCTGCTAGCTAGCCAGCCAGCCAGCCAGCCAACCTGTCTGCTAGCTAGCTAGCCAGCCAGCCAGCCAGCCAGCCAGCCAGCCAGCCAACCTGTCTGCTAGCTAGCCAGCCAGCCAACCTGTCTGCTAGCTAGCCAGCCAGCCAACCTGTCTGCTAGCTAGCCAGCTGTCAGCCAGCCAGCCAGCCAACCTGTCTGCCAGCCAGCCAGCCAGCCAACCTGTCTGCTAGCCAGCCAGCCAGCCAGCCAGCCAACCTGTCTGCTAGCTAGCCAGCCAGCCAGCCAGCCAGCCAACCTGTCTGCTAGCTAGCTAGCCAGCCAGCCAGCCAGCCAGCCAGCCAGCCAGTCTGCTAGCTAGCCAGCCAGCCAACCTGTCTGCTAGCTAGCCAGCCAGCCAACCTGTCTGCTAGCTAGCCAGCCAGCCAGCCAGCCAGCCAACCTGTCTGCTAGCCAGCCAGCCAGCCAACCTGTCTGCTAGCCAGCCAGCCAGCCAACCTGTCTGCTAGCCAGCCAGCCAGCCAACCTGTCTGCTAGCCAGCCAGCCAGCCAACCTGTCTGCTAGCCAGCCAGCCAGCCAACCTGTCTGCTAGCCAGCCAGCCAGCCAACCTGTCTGCTAGCCAGCCAGCCAGCCAGCCAACCTGTCTGCTAGCCAGCCAGCCAGCCAACCTGTCTGCTAGCCAGCCAGCCAGCCAACCTGTCTGCTAGCCAGCCAGCCAGCCAACCTGTCTGCTAGCCAGCCAGCCAGCCAACCTGTCTGCTAGCCAGCCAGCCAGCCAACCTGTCTTCTAGCCAGCCAGCCAGCCAACCTGTCTGCTAGCCAGCCAGCCAACCTGTCTGCTAGCCAGCCAGCCAGCCAGCCAGCCAGCCAGCCAGCCAGCCAGCCAACCTGTCTGCCAGCCAGCCAACCTGTCTGCTAGCCAGCCAACCTGTCTGCTAGCCAGCCAGCCAGCCAACCTGTC